AAATCTTAAAAAAAAAATAAATAAATTGGGGTCCTGCAATCACCAAATTGTGTTTGGCTCCAAATTGGGAAAAATGTGGTAGTGGGCGCAGGGGAGGAAAAATTTCTCCTCTGTCCTTCTGGAGTCTCCAGCTGGGCCTAAGAAACTGATGTCAGCGGGTACACAAGAGAAAAGCATACACATTTTATTACGTTTTACATGTACATGGAGTTGCCACGAGAGATGAAGACCCAAAGAAGCAGAGCTGAACATTTATATACTGAATTGGACAAAGAGAAGTAAGTTATGAAAATGTGACAAGATAGAGGGGCTAGGCAGTTCCTGGTGGCAAAGTGACTAGGAAGATAAGGGTTAGTGTAACAAGGCTTATTTGTACTGATTTTTCTTGGCCTCGACTCCAGGTCTCTGGTGATAAGAATGTTCCTTTACTTCTGGTATAGGGAGTTCATCGTCCAGATGGGGGTTTTATCTCCTGCTTTCAGGAAGAAAAAGGGGAGGAGGTCACAATGCCCTTCTTATAGTGCTGTGTGTCAAGTCCCTTGAGCTCAAAATATCCTTTTGGATGACATATTCTGCGGCTCTTCACGGGCCCTGTTTACCACCAGGTATTGAGCTGGCCCCCAAGACCTAGGTCTAGCTCCTGCACTGTCCCGTGTTCCATCTCTTATCTGCTTCGATAAATGGAGAAACATGGGCTCTGTTTTGTTTTGTTTTTCAAGCTGCTGGTTCCTCATCTGTAAATGGGGATAATAATAGTCCTTGTCTGGTAGAATTGTGAGCATTAAATGAGATGAGGCAAATAAAGAGATGTACTTAGAAAGGGCTTAGTAAATGTAACTGTGGGGAGGAAAATACTTCTTCCTTTGCCCTTCTAGGTTCTTGGCCAAGACACCCCTGTGATAAAAAGACACATTAACAGGAGAAAAACAAACAAGTTTAATAATGTGTGTACCTCCTATATGCATGTTTTTCCTCCAGGAAGACCTCTCCAAAAAGGTCCATGCCACCACCTTAAACATCATCTCCAGCTAGAGACAAAGATGCTGGGGGTGGGGAGTCAGTTATGGGAGGTTACCAGGAGGAGCGCTGTGAACAAGGGTAAACGTTATGCATTAAGATAAGGGTTTCTAGAGATTTAGACTCATCTTTCCCTTCCTGGTACAGAGAGGGAGACGCCCTTGCAAATGGAGATTTCCCTTGTACTACTGTAAGTGTGAGTGTTTCTTATAAAAGGGTAACTTGTGCTCAGTTTTTAGAGCTTCACCTGTGTCTGCTGTTTATTTAAAAATAACTAGCTTAAAATAGCATGCCAAAGAGGCATATTTTGGAGTGGTATATTTTGCTCTTCTTTGTGATGGAAAACAAATAAACAAAATGGGTTGCTACTGTAGATGCTTTTCTCCTCCCCCTTCTAGTTGGAAACCTTTGTTTAGAAATAACCCTAATCAAGATGATCTGTATTTAAGAAGCATCCAGAAAAATAAATAAATAAATAAGAGCCTTGGCTTGCACTTAAGACCATTTGAGTTGCATTTCCCTGTAGCTAATGTTGGCAGGGTTATTGTGCTCCAGCTGAGAAGCCCTGCTGGTCCCTTCTGGCAGCCCCAGATGCAGATGCTGTTATATTAATTACAAAAGAAAACCTGATTAACTCGGAAGTCCTTAAACTGTCAGCAAGGCAGCTGCTCACGCTCTGAAGCAGGTCTTCTTCCTCCCTCCTACTGTCAGGCCACAGTTGGAATCTCTTTTTTAGAGAGCTGCTGAGACTGCACTCTCTCTAGGTCCTCAGAGCCCCTGGCTAGTTCAGTGAACTTTTTAATCTGCTGTTATAGTAGTCCAGGGAGAGTTTGCATGATTAAATTCACAGATAATTTAAGATAAAAACAACCAGCCCAACCACTCATCCCCCTCAACTGTTCGTCTTGCACCAGTTAAAACCTGATGGCGTCCTGGAATTTTAGAACTGGAAAGATGTTAACGATGATGTCATGCACTTCCCTGAGTTCACAGATGAGAAATCCAAGGCTGAGGAAACTCAAGTGAATTGCCAAGTCACAGAGCTGATGAGCAGTGGAGCCTGGGATTCACAATCTCTGCCCTCCTCCCTCTGCTTTTCCTCTTGCTGCACTCTTCTTTCCCTGGACCCTTTGCCCTGGAGAGGCAGGGAGGGAACCGATTTAGTGTTGACTTTCTGTCCCATCCGTGCCCTTGTTCAAATCTGGTAGACCTATGTCAGAGATCAGTGGAAAAGCTCAAGATTAGTGGCAGAAGTGAAGCACTTGAATAGTGACGTATTGAACAACAGATGGCGATACTCATATTGAAGATTTTATGCAGTCCACTAGTTGCCTGGAGAACCCCAGCAGGACAGTGCATGGAAACAAAACACCAGCCCACTCTCCCATTGCACTGGTCTCTATGGTGGTTTGAGCCTAGCTGGTTTATTTGTAGTGGCTGTTTTTGTCACTACAGAGATGGAGGGGAGGGTGATCATTTGGGTCAGATGATTAATGGGGTGTGTCTGCTGTGGTTTTGGCAGAGGCAGCATGTTTTACTGGCTTTCCTATAGTTGACACTTTGTCTCAGAGGTTTTGTGATCTCGCCCTCTGGTCCTGAAAAATGATGAGTTGGTTTTAGTTCTCTGTTATCCACTTTCCACGCTCATTTAGGTTTCTTTTTATCATGTGTCAACTTTTGTGGTAGGAGTTATGGAGGCCATCAGTGTGGGCTTACACCTGGAGCCTCTCTGAGCATCTGAGCAGCACTGGGAAAAGAGGAAGGGATGGAAAGTATGGCTGAGAGTGATTCCAGCTGGTGAATCTCTTTCTCAGAGCTCAGGCTGACACCATTGTAGTTCATTTCTGCGCGGTGAAGGGGGAGGTCCTCTTCTGTTGTCTACATCCACCCTCTGCGTTGAGATGAAGGTTTTTAGGAACGATGGTTGCCCCTGGACTTTCCTGAGTACTTAGTGGAGCTACTTACAGCTTTCGGTAGATAATTCTCCAACAGTAAATGGATTCTTACACAGAGCAAACAAGTGCATAACTTGAGTCCTTGCTAATTGTCAGTCACTGGGTTAGGTGTTGAGGATACAGAGAGAAATCTGATGGTCCTTCTTGCTTTCAATCATTATAAACAGATAACTAGAATAGACTGTGATAAGTGTTGTTGAGTTGGGAACAAGATACAAAGGGACTCAGGACTAGCCCGTTGCTGCTTGCTCAGTGCACATACAAGCAATTGGCTACGTCCCCTTCCTTTTATTTATTTATTTTAAAGATTTTATTTTGAAGTAATCTCTACACTCAATGTGGGGTTTGAACTCACAACCTCAAGATCAAGAGTTGCCTGCTGTACCAACTGAGCCAGCCAGGCACCGCTGTCCCCTTGCTTTTAGATTGTGGGTCAAAGATTAGACCAGTGGTCTGGTGTGTTACGCTCGGGCTTGGTAAATGCCTTGCACACAGTTAGGCACTCTGTTACCACTCCTTGCTTTTTCGAAGGAACCCATCTCTTTCCCAGGAGAGTTGATTTTCTTGTCTTGGTGTCCTGATGTACACATACAGGCCAGGTGTTGGGCTTACAGACAGACACGGAAGGAAGGGCTTAATGAAACGCCCAGAGGGGTTTGGGCGAAAGCAAAACCTTCTTGAAACCTTTTGGTGGTGCCGTTTGTGGAAGGGAAGGGGGTTTGAGGATTTGTAACAGTATAGATAGAGGCTGAAGCAGAAGAGCCTCTTAAATCAGACCTCCCTTACACGGACGAAATAAACAGCTTACGAATGGCTTAACAGCTCACGCACGGTGAAGTGACTAAAATCTAAAGGGCATACTTTTCAGCTGGTGCCACACAAAATTTCAATAAAGATGTATTTGGCCCAGAGATCAGCCTCCTTCTGGCCTAAGAACCCCGGGTCTGTGCCTTTCTGAACAAGCTCAGGGGTTGCCTGAATCGTAGACAGGAGCAGGCATCGGGACCGAACAGGTCGGGAATGATTGCATTCAGAATCTGAGAGGTTCAGGTCAATGAATTTCTGGTTCCTTTTCCCAGGCAGAGGTTTCTGCCCCTTTAAGAAGCTTTTTGTTCTCTCTTGAACGATACTTGGTGTGTTTGTGGAAGCTTGCCATTTACATGAGCGTGGTTGTCCTGAGTGGATGTTTCTGAGATAGATCACATTCCTCCTAGATTTACCCGGATTTTCTCCTAACAGGCAGTTCTTCCCTTTGTCTTACTCAACTCCTTGTCCTCCGTAAACTGAAGGAATGTGTCTTGATCAGGAGTTACTGATCTTCACCGAGCACCCAAAGTTATATGAGAACGGACGGGGCAGCTGGGATGCTGTCACCAGCTATCAGAGGGACGAACTGGAAAAGATTCTAGAACTAAGGCAAACTTGAATAACATTTTATTTTGATGTATGCATATGTAAAGATTGGCTCTCTCTCACATACACGGAGAAGATTAGTTCACACAGTTATAAAAGATGTCACAAATGAGGAAAGTAACAAGCTAAAACTGCAGATGGTAGAGCCATTTAAAAGGGCCTTCTATGTGCAAGTATTAGGTGTTCTGTCACGAAGGTTTTCATTTTGACATCTTCAGGTACAGTTTCTCCTTGGATTCATGTCCTAGTTTGTATAGTCTTCTCTGGCTCTGCCAATTTAAGGATCTCGAGATTGTGATGGAGTCCTGGTGTACTCCTTGGGCTGGCCCTGCACTGCATGCAAAAGGAGTGGGGAAGGATCAGGTCCCTGCCACCTTTCTAGGTAGAGACACCTGCTCTGGGGACAAGCCAGGAAGGGGACTCCTGTTCGATCTTTGAAGAGCCTTTTCTGGCTGAGATGTTTTCCTGGTGTCTCGTCCAACCAAGAGCTTCCTGGAAATTGCTTCCCTAGGGCCCTGCCATCCTGACTGGGTCTCTGGGAAAGTCTCTGTCTACCCCTCCTCACTGTCTCTCTGTACTCCTTTCTCCTTCTCCACCCTCCCCTTCCCCAACCAGGCCAGCTGAGCTGCATCGCCTTCCCACCTAAGGAAGAGAAGTACCTCCAGCAGGTTGTGGACTGCCTTCCCTGCATCTTGATCCTCGGCCAGGATTGTAATGTCAAGTGCCAGCTGCTGAACCTGCTGTTGGGGGTGCAGGTGCTTCCCACCGCCAGGCTGGGCAGTGAGGAGAACTGTAAGCTGCGGCGCCTCCGCTTCACCTATGGGACTCAGACTCGGGTCAGCCTGGCGCTCCCTGGCCAGTACGAACTAGTGCACACGCTGGTTGCTCACCAGGGCAACTGGGAGACCATCCCTGAGGAGGACCTGGAGGTCCAAGAGGACGGTGAGGACGCCGCCCCTGTTTTAGCCGAACTGGAGGTGACGATGCACCACGCTCTCTTACAGGTACCAGTCTCATATTTATACAACAATTGCATACATATATACCAGCTTTTCCTGTATTTGAGCTTTCTCACAGAGCGATTTGGCAACATAATAGTCTTGGCTCTGAGCATCAGCTGATAGAGCACATAACCTAGGAAGCTGAAAAACAGACAAGGCCTTAGCAGTGCCTATCCCGGAGTCTGCTACCACGTGGCAGGAGCCTGAGCAATTTGCTTATCTCCTTGCCCCCCATCTCCCTTTCTACAATAGAAGGAATGTGCTGCTTGCATCTCGACAGGCTTTTACAGAGTAATTATGATCAGGGCCAGAAATCCTTTTCCATTTCTCAGCAGGAAGCCATGGCTAGAATTGTCTCCAGCCATCCCTTTCTAAAAGGAATGCTAAGATGATGGATTATTAATGCCCTTACTCGAGTTGAGACCGAGTAAAGAATTTTATGAGTTTTTCCTTAGACCTAGCCATTATTTACTAAGTGGGACAGAGCATGTCTCCTACTTTCTAAGGAACTGGAGAACCTGAGGACAGGCCTGGCTCAGTGTAAGGAGATACGGAGATCCCATCATCATGAAGGATATCTTCTTGGCTTCTCTCTTAAAGTAAACTCCCGAGAGAGCACAGCTCTTGCGGTGACTTCCAAGAGGTCATACCGACTATCTGGTACTCATTTCTCCACTTAGGAAGGACTCAACTCTGGTGCTAGGCTTCCCGTCCTGCTCTATAAGCTGGGACCGGGCTATGTGATTAGACCGAGTGGGAACCACAAAGAATGTGACTGTGTCAGGGGCCAGGAGTGGGTAAGATGAAAATGCAGACCTGCTTGGAACAGAGAGTCCCATCACCTTGATTAGCTGTGCCAGGAAGGAAGGGCTAGTTTAGCAGGACTAGGAAGTTTTGTTTCTTCTTTCTTATAATCTCTGCACCTACCCCTGTTCTGAAAGGCCTGATCTCCCAGTCAATGAATGAGTCCTTTGGTTGTGGCCATGGCCTCTGACGCTCTAGAAGTAGAAACTGTCCTCTCATTTCCTTCCAGAGACTGCATTTCTTTTATCTTGATAAATGCTAGAGGGGCTCTGTACACAAGCCAGCATTTTCTCTGAGCAGAGTTTCATCAGTGGCTTTCCTCTGTTTTCAGACCAAGAGCTCACACTTCTTAGGTCCAGGATGCTGAGAGGGTTCTTGCATAACTCTGACCGCAGCTCTGACAGTAATCCTTGTTTATTAACTGAGGCTGCTTGGTTGACCGTGAACTTCTTCACAGTTCATAAGTGTTTGAGCCACACACAATCTCTCTGTGATATACTGGCCCGATCTGGTTCCTTCAGGTTCCAGGGGTTCAGTGGCTTTCAAACTTTTCTAGAATTTCATTCACTGGGTCATCTGGCTGGCTCAGTTGGTAGAGCATGCTACTCTTGATCTTGGGGTCGTGACTTTGAGCCCCACACTGGCTGTAGAGATTACTTAAAAATATTTATATATATGGGGGCGCCTGAGTGGCTCAGTCATTAAGTGTCTGCCTTCGGCTCAGGTCATGGTCCCAGGGTCCTGGGATCGAGCCCCGCATTGGGCTCCCTGCTCGGCGGGAAGCCTGCTTCTCCCTCTCCCACTCCCCCTGCTTGTGTTCCCTCTCTTGCTGTCTCTCTCTGTCAAATAAATAAATAAAATCTTAAAAAAAGAGAGAACGTCCTGCCCCTTCTTTAAAAAAAAAATATACATATACATATATATAAAAAAATATATGCACATATATAAAGAATTTCACTGTAAGAAATAACATTTTGTATCAGGACCTAGTACATATATACACATATACATTTTTTTAAAGATTTTATGTATTTATTTGGGAGAGAGAGAGAGAAAACACAAGCAGAGGGTTTTTTTAGAGGGAGAAGCAGACTCCCCGCTGAGCAGAGAGCCTGACGCAGGACTCAGTCCCAGGACCCTGGGATCATGACCTGAGCCCAAGACAGATGCCCAACCGACTGAGCCACCGAAGTGTCCCTACACACATAGAAATAACATTTCATGAAACAATACTTTTACTTTTTGTAAAACACACTATTGTCTTCTCTTTTCTATTTGATTTCATTTTTTAAAACTGATGGTAGCAACCCACTAAATTGATGCTGTGAGCTGCTACAATCTGACCTGCAGCTTAAAAAACACTGTTAAATAGCCGGTCTGACTGCTATTGGTCGGGTGGCAATTCTTCCTGTTCTTGCCTTTTAAAAACAATCTTGGACTGTGAACAGAGCCATGTGCAGGAGAGGCACGTGACTGGATTGATTTCTCTGGGTCCCTTCATTTTATTGGCTTTAATTTTTAATGCTCATTTACTTTTGTTGCATGAATTGAGGCAGTTCGAGCAAGTGCCAGGTAAGAAAGTGAGAGCCGTCCCCTGTGCGCACAGCGGAGTGCACCCTCACTGGGGAGAGCTCGCCTGGCTGCTCCTGACATGGGCTAAGCACTCCACTGAGGTAACAGGTGAGGGGGCTACTTGGTTGGGAAGTGGAGGTACCAAATCAGCTTTCCCTCTGCACAGGTGAAATATGTACTTTCTTTCTTGAGGAATACTCTCTTGTCTTGAGGAATTCTCTAGCCTCTTGCATTCTGTTTCATGTGGTTTGTGAGGCTTCCTTAGCCCTTGTTTTTCCGGATCTGCTTTATTCTCCAGTGGTTTTGATGTAGAAATAACAACGGACCCCAACGGTTCTAAGTTTGGAACCCCTTGATGCCATGCCTCAGGTGTCCTTAGGAGCCCTTGTGGAGCTCAGGCCGTGCTCCGCCACCACAGTCAGGCTCCTGTCTTCATTGCATTTGTGGCCTCTGTTTCAGGAGCTCACTGCTGGGGGCGCTTCCCAGTTACCTTGAAGATTTGTGTGCCGGTGAAAAAGATCTTTTTGTTTAGCTCCAGTTATATTTAGGACCAGTGAGTTAGCTCCAAACAGCCCTTCCATTTGGTTTGCAAAGGGGCTGGTAAAGAAAGGAAAACTTGGCTCAAGGAAACCAAGACTGAATTAGGGGAAATGAGTTATTCATTTTCAACTGTCAGATTAGCAAAGCAGAGTTTCCCCTACCCTCTTATACAATGGTCATTCTTCTAATACGGTGCTTTAAAGTCCTCATAAATTAGCCACTTTCAGTGTGTTCCAGAATAGGCTGACCCACATGGACCCACAGTGCTTGGTATTCCCACCTTTTTAGCTCTGGGTCCCCTGAGATTCTCAGTTCATAATTCAACAGCAGAGGAACAACATCAAGTTGTTAGTTTCCGTAACCTCTGTTATTGTTCAAACATAGTAATTTTCCCATTGGCAACACATTTCACTAGGTCTGTCTCCACTCACACGCCTCCCCTTCTCTACCCTCCCCCGCTGTGTGGCACGCGTACCACCACCTCCTCTCATCAGTCCGGGGGGGCACGGCTGTCTGCTTTGGAGTTGCCTCATTCTGGTGTGTGTGTGTGTGTGTGTGTGTGTGTGTATTTTTCCTGTGAACACCAATGAGAAAAGGGTGTGTGTGTGTGTGTGTGTGTGTGTGTGTCGCAGTCTGACGTGGGACTCCTGCAGCCTGGCCGGTGTTTCACTCGTGGTGGTGCTGACAGAGCTTTGGGTTCTTCTGCCGGCCTGTTTATCTCCACCCTTTGGACAAACGTACGTGTCGCCTGACGGCCAGACTGCCGCACGCGGACACAGTCTTTGGCTCAGGATGGTGTCTGATGGGGTATCTTTTCCGGGGAACTGAGGTAGACTATAATGTTTCCAGGAAAGGTCTGATGACTTGAAAATAAACTTTATTTTTAACTCTAACCAGTTGGAGTAGTCAGTCTCAGTCAATAGCTAGCAATGGAAATCTATTGTTAATATACAGACCCAGGTGTTTTTAATTTCTCAGCAGTTAATACTTTCACAACCCAAAATCATTAAAGGATTTTACTTAAAAATAACAAAAGTTTATGCAAAATTTTAGCCCCCAAATTTACTAAATACTGTTTGTTGCTAGAAAACTAGCTTCTCTCAATTTTTGTCTAGTTTTTGGCATTTATGATGATGCCTTATAAAACTAAATCTTTTGTGTGTTGTTTAGCTTTACTTAGATACCATATCTTATCTTGAATGTCTCTAGATTGAAAGATAACAGTTGATTTGTAACAAAACGGAAAGAAGGCTGGGTAAAGGTCCTCAGGGCAAAAAGATAACCATTAGGGGGAGATAGTATATGGAATTGGGTCAAAAATGGCCATCCTAAGGAAAAAGACCCAAAGTTGGGATAACATGTATAAGATGGAGAATGGCACTCTGGAGATAAAATTACAGTAAAGAAACCATGATTTTATGGGGCAAAGAAAAAGGGGAACTAAAGTGTTATCTTAAAAAAGGGTATCAGAAGTCCAGGCAAATGCGAAAATATAAATTCTTTCTAGGCAGCGAGCCTGTACCCTTCATATTTAACATCTCTCTTGCCTCTCCCCTAACACACTAACAGGTGTAGTGGAATGTAAGCATCCTGCATATCTGCATGTGTTGCTCTTGGCCAAGAAACCTGCAAATACCTAGTGCAGTGTAATTTACCTGTTGAGGATGTGGGTGGTTTAGAGGCAAGTTTTTTTTTTTAATCCCTATGCTCACTAAGATAAAAGTAAAAAGAACAGCTTGAATCTGATTTTTTTTTTTCAATTCACCACCAGGGATTCATTTGTGGCCTTCCAAGGTTAGCTCTTGGGGAGAAAATCTGGCAGAGATTATAGTCTTAATCTTCCTCTTTTGTCTCTTTTCTAGAATCCCATCTACCTCTTTTTTTTTTTTTTTTTTTAAGATTTTATTTATTTGTCAGAGAGAGAGGGAGAGAGAGCACAAGCAGGAGAAGAGGGAGAAGCAAGCTCTCCACCGAGCAGGGAGCCCGATGTGGGGCTTGATCCCAGGACCCTGGAATCATGACTGAGCTGAAGACAGACACTCAACTGACTGAGCCACCCAGCCCCCCCGCCCCCTTTCTTACACCCA